CAAAGTTATACCTCCTCCAACATTGTTTTTTTCAGTAAGTGGCCTCATAAATCATTCAAATATATATATACCTAAAACCTTGCTCTAAATGCAATTATTCCTGCATTTAGTTTTCTCTCTTTCTCTGGTGCCAAATCTTAATCCAGATCCTTGTCATATCTTCTTTTGTCCACAAGAGCTCTTTAAACAGTCTCCTGGCTTCCTGGGGCCTGTTCTTTGCATTTGTTTTCATACAGTAGCCAGAGCTGTCTTTTATTTTTTAGGACAGATTTATTGAGGTTTGGTTTGTATATAGTAAAAATCTCCTTTTATTTAGTGTACAGTTCTGAGTTTTGACAAAAGTAGGAAGCCATATCATGACTACCATACAATATTTAGATTGTTTCCATTTGTCTTGGGGAATACATAGGAGTTAGATTGCTAGGTTCCATGGAACGTTTATACTTAACTTTATAAGAAACTAGCAAACTTTCTTTTACAGTGGCTGATCCATTTACACTCCCACTAGTACTATATGAGAGTTTCCATTGTTCCACATTCTCCCTAGCACCAGTTTTATTTTATTTTATTTATTTTAACCATTGTAATACATGTATAGTGGTAGCTCATTATAGTTTCATGTACATTCCCATATGACTTATGATATTTAGCATCTTTCACATGTTCATTGAGATCCATATATCTTTTGGAAAGTGCATACTTAAGTCTTTTGTGTATTTTTTATTTGATTTATTTTTGTTGGATTTTTAACGTTTTTTTACATATTATGAATACAAAGTTACATACTTTGCAAAAAAAAAAAATTCTCCTTGTCTGTGGCTTGTCTTATTCATTTATCAGTACATCAGAGCCAACATTTTTTTTTTCATTTTGATGAAGTGTAATTTATTCTTTCATGGAGCATTCTTTTGGTGTTGTATCTAAGAACTCTGCCTAACCATGCTTACAAAGATTCTCTCCTGTTCTAACAGTTTAAAGCTTTCCATTTTATCCTTAGATCTGTGATCCATTTTGAGTTAAATTTTGTTCGTGGGATGTGAGATCAAGATAATTTTGTTGCTTATGGATATCTAGTTGTTATAGCAAATTTATTAAAAAGAATATTCTTTTCGCCTTTGTCAAAAATTAGTAACCTGTATTTGCATGGGTCTATTTCTGGACTGTATTCTGTTCTGTATCTGCTGTGATCTATGTCATGTATTAACAAACTTTTTCTGAGAAGCACCAGATAGTAAATACTTTAGGTTTTGTAGGTCAAAAGGCAAAATCCAAGATATTATGTAGATACTTGTATAACAAGAGAAAAAATAAATTTCCATGAATATTTTGACAGAATTTAAAATATAATTGATAAACGTGCAATACAATATACAGATGATGCATTGTAGAATTGTATAGATGAAACCTGTGTAATTTTATTAACCAATGTCATCCCAATACATTCAATTACAAATATAATAATTGAGTACAATTTTATAACACAGCTCTACTAATAAGAAGAATGGGATTGGTGGGGATAACATTTTGCTTAATAGGGGTTCAAAATTAGTGTTTCTGCTCATCAAAATTTAATACAAATGGTTCATCTAGTAATGCATATTTATAATAAAATTTTACATATTTTTATCTTTGAAAAATATCTTTTCACAAAGGTGATACACGTAGCAGTGAAAATGCTGCAATTTGTAGAGTGCTGAAAAGCACTGCAAAGTGATGAGAGAGCCACATAGAGTCTGTCATAGCTATTCAACTCTTTACTGTGGCATAAAATTTGCTATGGACAATGTAAATAAATGAGTCTAGATAGGTTCCAATCGTGATTTATTTATGGGTACTGAAATTTGAATTTCTTATAATTTCTACTTGTTACTAAAGATTATTCTTTTTATTTTTTCATCCATATCTACAAATTTAAAAGCATTCTTATCTTAGGAACATACAAAAACAGGTGATAGATAGGCTAGATTTTTCCTATGGTCTGTAATTTGCTTACCTCACTTCCCTATTTTATGTTTCTCTCCTTGGCCTACACCATGTTGTCAGGATTATTGTTGCTTTGTGCTAAGTATTGAAATCAGGCAACCTGAATCTTCAACTTCGTTCTTTTCCAAAATTGTTTTGGCTCTTCTAGTTCCTTTGCCTTTCCATATAAATTTTTGAATCACTTATTGATTTGTACAAAAAATCCTGCTCAGAATTTTGTTGGAATTATGCTTAATCTACTGTGGGTACAATTGACATCTTCACAATATTAAGAGAACTGGTATAAATAAATCTTTAGATTTATTTACATTTTTGATATCTTTTAGCATCTGTAGTTTTCTGCATATAGATTTTAGAATTTGCACATATTTTGTTAAATTTACACCTAATTATTTCATGTTTTTTGGTTAGAGCCATCTTTTTTAAAATACAGATTGTTATCATGTTGTTTCCCAGTTTAAAACCCTTCAGTGGCTTCACACTGCTCTTAGAATAAACTCTAATCTTTAAAAGCCTAAAAGCCCTGAATGATCTGGGCTAAATTTATCCTAATTTTATGCTGTTCTTCACCTTATTCAAAATGTTCTAGTCTTAGACTAGCAGGAAATGGTTTTATCAATTAGAATACTTGAAAGAGTAAATAAATTTTTAAACAAACACTTGAAATATGTATATTTTAACCTTATTAAAAAGAGCAGTTCAGTCGAAACCGGTTTAGCTCAGTGGATAGAGCGTCGGCCTGCAGACTGAAAGGTCCCAGGTTCGATTCCGGTCAAGGGCATGTACCCTGGTTGCAGGCACATCGCCAGTAGGAGATGTGCAGGAGGCAGCTGATCGATGTTTCTCTCTCATCGATGTTTCTAAGTCTCTATCTCTCTCCCTTCCTCTCTGTAAAAAATCAATAAAATATATTTTTTTAAAAAAAGAGCAGTTCAATGATCTTCAGCAAATCATGAACTTAGAATTTGGCTGGGTGGTTGGGCTCTCTGTATGGAATTCTTTGATCTTTAAGTTTGTACTTTGTGAGTATTGTTTGTTTTGTTTCGTTTTTATTAATCCTCACCCAAGGATATTTTTCCATTGATTTTCAGGGAGAGTGGAAGAGAGGGAAAGACAGAGTGAAACATTTATATGAGAGAAACACAACGATTGGTTGCCTCCTGCACAAGCCCCTACCGGGCCTGGGCCCTTAAGGAGCCTTCAACCAAGATATGTGCCCTTGACTGGAATCAAATCTGGGACCCTTTGGTCCACAGTCCAAGGCTCTATCCACTGAGCCAAAGCAGCTAGGACTATGAATATTGTTTACAAAGAACTTAGTTTTGTTTATATTTGCTAAAGAAAATATTTTTTCCTTCCTAATAAACTTGCTGAAACTTGACAAAAAGCCTAGTTTTCTGACCAAAGCAAGGATCTTGTTACTGTACATGAATGAAGTTAAATTTTCCAGCTAAAGTGGTTCTTACATGTGCATACCTTCTGCCAACTTTATTATAATATCTAAAGTAGAAATGTAAGACTAATGATATCCTGGGGGAAGGTCTGCAACTATGGTGCCTAAGAAAGAAAGAGAGCCACAAGGTTCATTTAAAAAAATTATCTTTTAAGCCGGCATTTTAATCGACCAATATTTATTCAATTCCTTATGCTAGATATATAGAGATGAATAAGATATTGCCTAGGCCTTAAAGGAGTTCAAAAACTTCTTGAAATGAGGAAACAGTTACAATTAAAAGTGATTGTAAATGGAGATATGTCTAAGTGACTTTGATAGTACCAAGGAGAAACAAGTATCCCAATGGGATTTAGAGTTTGATAAGACTACTTAATTTTTAAGATATAGAACTAGAAAGGAGACAATCTAGGGGGCTTGTATTTTATCCAATAACTAGAGGTCCCAAGACACACAGAATTGCCTGGAGAACTTACTTAAAAAATCAGATTCCTAGTCTCATCCCTCAGAGATTGACTAGATACGACTAGGGTGGTTTCCCAGGTGGTTCTTATTTAGCTAGCAAACTCTAGTCTGCACATGACATTTAGTAGTCAATGCAGTAGGTAAGAGTGAGCCACAGAATAGTTAAGCTAGGTAAGAAAATGATCATATTAGAAAGTTAAATCCAGTGGTGGTATAGAGCAGTGAAATCACCTGAGAATATCATTAAAATGCAGATTTTGGTTCAGTAGGTTTAAGATACTACCTAACAAGCTCCAAGTAGAGGCTGGTACTACTTGACTGAGGACCACAGTTTGATTAACAAGGGTAGAGAGGTTATATTGGAATGGGGTGAGACTACAGACATGAAGATAAGTAACAGCCTATTGCAGGAATCTGGGCAAAATAACTAAGTGTTTGGTACTAGCAAGAATAAGTTCTAGTGAAATGTAATAGATGAAATTGGGAAGACTCATTTAGCGAGTTGGTAGGATGTGGTGTTAGAAGTGAGGGGAGAGTTGTCAAGAATGATCTGAAGGTTGAAGTTTAGCTATCTTGGTGGATGACATTAATTGAACTAGAATAAAAGAGGAAGAAGGTGGCCTTGTGGGTAGAAACAGGCTGGGTAGTATAGAATAGTTTCTTATTGCTGAGAAAAGTGATTTATATATATATTTAGTTAAGGTAGAGTGTTAATTTTTAATGCATTGAGTTTGAGGAGTCTATGAGATACCCAAAATGTTAAAGGGATCAGTAGAAGAAAGGGAACCCACAATAGACTGAGAAGTGTCAGATATGTTGGTGGATAGCTGTTTGAAAGGCATTTCCTGGAGGAGAAAGTCAGAGTATCATTGCCACAGAGACATCAAACAAAAGATTAGATAAAGTTTGATGAGAGTGTATAAAATTATAGTTTAATAACTAACTTTCCAAAATGCTGATTGACTAAAAGGAGTTCATTAGTTTTTTCCTTTCAATCTTTTAATTTAAGGACCAGAGCCAATTTTTTCATATTATTCATCATGAAAAGCCTCATAGTGCCTTTTCCATTCAGATTTTCTTCTTTTTCTTCCCCCTACAGATCAAGAGCTTCTAGATACAGTTGAAAGTTTTGCTATGCACTGAAAGGGAAGCATTGTACGTGAAGTTCTATTTTCTAAAATGTCTGCCTGTAACACCTTTACTGAGCACGTTTGGAAACCTGGTGAATGCAAGAATTGCTTTAAACCTAAAAGCTTGCACAAGCTCCCTCCTGACCCTGAGAAGACAGCCATCACCCATGGCCATGTGAAAACTCTTGCCAATCACAGTAACAACCACCATATCAGGAACACTGCAAATTTCCGGCCTCCTGTTGCTAAAAAACCCACTATAGCTGTGAAGCCCACTATGATGGTGGCAGATGGGCAAAGTGTATATGGTGAGCTTAATATCCAAGGTCCCTGTGAGAACAAACCTGTCATTATAGAGAGGAACCGAAACAGGACGGCGTTGAATCAGAAACCACTCAATAATAATAATAATGAAGATGATATTGAAGGAGTTAGCCATGTTTCTAAACCTTTTGGCAATAATGACAGTGCAAAGAAGATATCAAGTAACAATAATGGACTAACTGAAATGTTGAAGGAGATAGCAGGCTTGGATACTACTCCTCAGATAAGAGTAAATGAAACAAATGCCAAAGAAATATTCTTAGGAAGAATAAATGATTGCTATAAACGATCACTGGAAAGAAAGCTTCCACCAAGTTGCATGATGGGTGGGATAAAGGATACTCAGGGCAAGCATGTTATTCTGAGTGGGAGCACAGAAGTGATCAGTAATGAAGGGGGCCAGTTCTGTTACCCAGAGTTTTCTAGTGGAGAGGAGTGTGAGGAAGATGTATTTTTCAGTAACATGGAAGAGGAGCATGAAAGCTGGGATGAGAGTGATGAAGAGCTGGTGGCCATGGAGATTCGTATGAGAGGGCAACCTCGATTCGCTAACTTTAGGGCAAACACTTTGTCTCCTGTTCGATTCTATGTGGACAAAAAATGGAATACTGTCCCTCTGCGAAATAAGTCTCTGCAGAGAATCTGTGCTGTAGACTACGATGACAGTTATGATGAGATCCTGAATGGTTATGGAGAGAATTCTGTGGTCTCCTATGGACCAGGAAGCATTCAGAGCATGGCATCATCTGGCTCCACATCACCAGATTCTTCTTTAACAGAAGAATCACGTTCTGAGACAGCCAGTAGTTTATCCCAGAAGATCTGTAATGGGTCAATATCTCCTGATACCCCAGGATATTCTAAGGACATGAAGGAAAGTGAGCCCAATTATGAAAGTCTCTCTGGTAACAATCAAGAGGATTCATCACAAGCATCCAAAATCTCAGAAAAAATTCCAGAGACACACAAAGCAGTCCTTGCTCTCCGATTAGAAGAGAAAGATGGCAAGATTGCTGTACAAACTGAGAATCAAGAAAGAAAAGCCTCTACAGATACTGCTGGGCAAGCAGTAATCATAAACCTCATTCCTGTACAAGAGCAAGCAAAGCCCTACCGCATAGTGAACCTTGAGCAGCCGTTGTGCAAGCCATATACTGTTGTAGATGTGTCAGCAGCGATGGTTAGTGAGCACCTCGAGGACCCTGTTAACAGTTCCAAGACAAAAAGCTCATCTTCTACTCCAAACTCTCCAGTGACATCACCTATATCAACATCAGGACAAATAAGTGCCCATTTTCAAAAATCCAGTGCAATTCGATACCAGGAAGTATGGACATCCAGTACCAGTCCACGACAAAAGATACCTAAGGTGGAATTAATTAGTGGCGGAACTGGGCCAAATGTCCCTCCAAGGAAAAACTGTCACAAATCAGCACCTACTTCACCCATTGCTGCAAATGTTTCCTCTAAAACCATCCCTGTTAAGTCACCTAATTTGTCTGAAATAAAATTTAATAGTTATAACAATGCTGGTATGCCCCCTTTCCCAATTATCATTCACGACGAGCCAACTTATGCTCGGAGTTCCAAAAATGCTATCAAAGTTCCCATTGTAATTAATCCAAATGCATATGACAATCTAGCCATCTATAAAAGTTTTCTTGGAACAAGTGGAGAACTTTCAGTGAAGGAAAAAAACATAAGTATGATAAGCCATACTTATGAAGAAATAGAAACTTCAAGCAAAGTGTCTGATGATACCACTGGCAACCCCACTGATTGTCCCCAAGCTAAAGGGTTTTCTAATAGCACAGAATGTAAAAGGGGCTCAGTGGCTCAGAAAGTCCAGGAGTTTAACAGCTGTCTTAACAGAGGTCTGTCTTCCCCACAGAGAAGCTGTAGTTCCAACCACAGCTCCCCAACTAAGAGCCGGAGAACCACTCAAGAACCTGTTGCCAGAACAGAAGGCACTCAGGAGTCTCAGATGGTGGGGAGTGGCAGCAGCAACAAGGAGAAAGCAAGCACAGTGCTTTCTCAAATTGTGGCTTCTATCCACCCACCACAGTCCCCTCCAGAAATGTCCCAGTCAGGCCTTAAAACTTGCAGTGTGGAAGAGCTTTATGCAATTCCTCCAGAGGTTGATGTTGCTAAAAGTACACCAGTCCGGCCGAAATCTCTCTTTCCATCTCATTCCAGTGGTGAGCATGAAGCACCTCAGACCACAGAAAATCTTAACACTAAAGTACAAAAAGATACACTGGCAAAGCAAGTCACAACCTCTCCATCCAAGTTAGTGATTAACCCCCAGAGTGAGCCATCACCTCCTTTTCCTCCACCACGTTCTACGTCCTCCCCTTACCACGCAAGTAACCTTTTGCAGAAACATTTCACCAACTGGACCAAGCCAACCAGCCCTATCAAGTCAACAGAAGCTGAATCCGTTTTGCACTCTGAAGGCAGCAGGCGGGCAGCTGATGCAAAACCTAAACGCTGGATATCATTTAAAAGTTTCTTCCGTCGTTGGAAAACAGATGAGGAGGACAACAAAGAGAAAGAACGAGAGAAAGGGAAACTGGTGGGTCTGGATGGCACAGTCATCCACATGCTGCCCCCTCCTCCAGTTCAGCACCAACACTGGTTCACAGAGGCAAAAGGAGAGTCCAGTGAGAAGCCAGCCATCATCTTCATGTACAGGTGTGACCCTGCCAAAGGCCAGCCCAGTGTAAATCAAAGTAAGGCCGGAGCAGACCAGTCAGCAATCATGGAGAAGGGTGGAACACAGGATGAGTTACTACAGGTCTCAGAGGAGAAGAAGAAAAGGAGTCATTCTTCTCCATCACAGATTCCTAAACAAATTCTCAGGTATGTAAAATAGACTAGCAGAATGTGGAAATTATTTACATGTTTTCAAATGCTAAATTTTTTATATCTTTAAGATTGCATAAGAGCCATTTTTGTTTGTAAGTAGCATATAGGGGCCATCAATCTTTATAACTGCATTCCAAGATTAGAATATTATTAAAGTGCTCTTATTGAACAAGGTTTATGGCCCAGGATATTTAGCTAAAATAGCCTATTAAATTCGGTGACTACAGAGAGGCTTTAACATAGAAAAGCAAATCTGTAATACCTTAGTAGCAATAAATATGATACTTTGAAGTGCTATGATAGATAGTATGAGGAAGAAACAGGATTAAGTGAATAAAAGGTGGTATTGTTTTTTCCCTCTCCCAAATGTTATCTCTATATGCAGTATGTTATTTGTGTGTGTTTTTTATTGCTGTCTCTGTCAGTGTTATGGAAGGGAGGGTTGCAACTCATAGTTATTTAACATGTAGGTGAAACAGAAGTTAGTTATTGATACTGAGACCCAAAGTTATAATCTTCAATTCAGTTGGGCAGATTATATACCCACATCAATTCTCTAGGCATTAATTTTCTTTCATATTTTAATAACTGTTTAATGATCATCTACTCTGTCTAAGGCATATCCCAAATATTTATCTCAAATCCTTATAACAGCCCTACAAATTAGTTGTACTCTTCAGATGAGGAAACACATCTGGGAAGTTAATAATTGGTCAAATTCATATAGCTAGTAGTTGTCAGTCAGAATTCAAACCCTGATTTGACTTCCTCTAAAGTCTGAATCATCCAATAATGATGCATTGTTAATGAACACAAGATCAAACAAAATATTTATATTTTTATTTGTAATCATTCAAATAAACATTCATGTTTAAGAACTTAGTTTTTTTTTCTTTCTCACTTATATTGTGAGCAAAATTACCTAACAATAAAAACAAGAGATAGTTATACCACATTTGTAGTAAACAGATGATGTCCTTATATCCCCTGTCCTTTTGATTATTTTTTTTTGCAAGTTAGAAATAATTTTAATATATTCTCTAATAAGAATGGGTGGACGTACATGTCTGTGTATAGATGTATCCACAGTATACAATATATTTCTTGTTTAATTGAATTTATTGGAGTACAGGTTTCAATTGTACATCTCAATAAAATCAAAGATATGACCTGAGTATTCCATTCATCTGATTCTGAGTGTTCCTCCCCCTTGACTTAGAGTAAAAATTCTCTCCTAGGTTTGGTCTTTTCTCTGGCAAATACAGCAACCTGATGATAGGGTAGTTTCTCTCACCAGCTTTTCTTTAGAATAGTATAAATAAAAATGAGGTAAACAGTTAATGCCTTCACTTTTTCTAGCAAAATGCCAGGAAGTTTTGTATATATTCTTTACTAAAATAAGTTTTTCATGTATCTCAAATACTTACGACAAATAGTTGTCAAAATGCTAGAAAATTTCTTGTTTTCCTTAACTCCATGTAATAACAAAGCAAGTAAAATAGTGGTTATAAATGTATTCCTAGAAAGAATAGTCTTGTCATCGATGGTTGAAAGTGGGTGATAGAATGTTGTACTTCAGTAGTAATAAAATGCATATATTGTAAGTTAGTGTTTTCCTTAGAAAAGAAGCAATTTTAACAGCACGTGTTTGGAGTTACCTTTGAGGGAATAGCAGATAATTCTTGCAGGCTTTGCTCCTCATTAAGTATGTTTATAGTATATTTATCTGCATCCTGGAAGGCAGAGTCAGGGAATGATTTGGCCTCTCTCTGTGAAATGAAACTCTACTTCGACTGCATGTCACTGTATATGGTCTAGAGCAGTGGTTCTCAACCTTCCTAATGCCGTGACCCTTTAATATAATTCCTCATGTTGTGGTGACCCCCAATTTCATTGTTACAAATTGAACATAATTAAGCATAATGATTAATCACAAAAAAATATGTAAATATATATGTGTTTTCTGATGGTCTTAGGTGACCCCTGTGAAAGGGTCATTCAACCCCCAAAGGGGTTGCGACCCATAGGATGAGAACCGCTGGTCTAGAGGGTGTCCGACGCCTTTAATATAGCAGACCCCTTACTCTAAAGTTTATATTTTCACAGATTTGATTATAAATGGACCCTTTCTTCCAAAATTTATCAGTTCTTTATAGGTAACATCCATGAATCTAAATGGTGCATTTGGTTTGCCCCTTTTGTTCTCCAGATTATTCCTACAATATAATAACTGGAGTGCTGTTAAAACACAGATTGCTTTGCTCCTACCCCCATAGACTGACTCAGTAGGTCTCAGGTAGATCCTTATCATTTGCATTTCTAACAAGTTTTCAAGTGATACTGATGCTGATACTGCTGGTCCTGGGGCCACACTTTTTGAAGCATTGACCTTACCACCATTCTAAATATATGTGCTATCCTATATAATAAAAGAGAAACATGTAAATTGTCCTTCCACTACACTCACCAGCCAATCAGGACTGAGTATGCAAATTAACCCAACAAAGATGACAAGTTAATTTGCATACACAGGCGCTGGGCAGAGAGCAGAGTGGGAGAGCCAGCAGAGAGTGGAGCAGCTTAGGGAAATTGGCTCCCCAAGCTGCCAGATGGAGAGCAGAGACGGAGAACAGGCAACTTGGAGGACTTGGCAGAGAGGGAGGCCATGGGACACAGTCAGAGCAGGAAGGGAAAACCAAGATCACGGGGAGCACCAGGAATGCTGGAAATTGTAATTCTGGTGGCGGACGGATCTCCTAGACCAGGGGTGGGCAAACTTTTTGACTCGAGGGCCACAATGGGTTGTTAAACTGGACCGGAGGGCCGGAACAAAAGCATGGATGGTGTGTTTGTGTGAACTAATATAAATTCAAAGTAAACATCATTACATAAAAGGGTAGAGTCTTTTTTTTTTTTAGTTTTATTCATTTCAAACTGGCCGGATCCAGCCCATGGGCCGTAGTTGGCCCACGGCTGTCCTAGACGCTAGAGCAAAGTGAGCCTGGAGCAAGTTACTATTGCAGTGGGGGATGGAGGAAAAGCAAAGGTGAGAGACATAAGTAAAATTAGAGTGTCTAGGAAAAATTAAAGGGAAGATATCCTAAAACTTCCAGGAAATCTCTACCAGTGAAGCAAAGAAGAAAACGTGCCTCTATTATTCTGTGAGCAACAAACCAAACTGAGGTGGGGTCTCAGACAGTTCACTCATATGATTGCAAAGTCAGTCAGAAACTCCCTGATTGGACAGGGCTCCCCTGAGGGCTCCCAAATTGGAGAGGGTGCAGGTTGGGCTGAGGGACCCCCACACACCCCAGGGCACGAATGTCATGCACCATGC